CGTTCCTTCTTCGTATTCCGTTAAAAAATTAGTCATTGAGAACGCTGATGTTGATGATGATCAAAATAAATTAGAGTCGTTTCCTAAATGTACAAGAGCCGTGTAATGATCCCAGAAGAGAAGAACCTTCAGCTCCAAGGCTAAATACTCCATGTTTAGAAGATAATGAGAAGATCAATAAGGAAGAAAAACCAGTCAATCTCAAGGACTATGAAGTACAACTTAATAATTGCACCATAACTCATTCTTTTTTTGTTTGAAGCACCAACTGATGAAGAACCAACGTATTATGAAGAAGCTAAGGACAGTCCAGAATGGAAAGCAACAATGCAAGAAGAAATTGAAGCTTTAAAGAAAGATGAGACATGAGAGGTTGTGTCAAAACTAGAAAATTGTAAGTCAATCCCTTGCAAATGGGTATAGCGTTTGAAGAAAAAATCGGATTACATAATTGATAGATGCAAAACACATATCATTGCTCATGGTTTCTCTGAAAGCTAAGGACTGGATTATGACTTTCAGCCCAGTTGAGGACAATTTTTTCACTTTCTACTTATAGAAGTTAGAAGTTGTGGCAGTTTGATGTAAATAACATATTTGTTTAAGGTGAGTTGGATCGTGAAGTACTGATGGAACAGCCTCAAGGATTCATCCTCGAGCAATTTCCAAATTATGTGTGTTGGTTGAAGAAGGCATTGTATAGCCTCAAACAAAGCACCACATGCTTGGTATGGTAAAGTTACTCAATACTTCATCTTCTGTGGGTTTGAAGTTTCTGATTCATATTCTAGTTTGTTTGTAAAATAAGAATCAAATATGCATTTGTTAGTTTTACTATATATGGACGACACGATAATTTCCGGAGATGATGAAGTTGAAATTTCCAGTCCAAGAAATGAATTGTCAATTCGATTTGGAATGAAAAAATATTTGGCATGATATCTCGGCTTAGAAGTGGAAAAATTAGATCAAGGTTATTTTATATCTCAAAGAAGCTATGCAAAGAAATTATTGGAGCATTTCAACATGGGCGAGTCAAAAGAAATGACTACTGCTCCTGTATGGATTCAGCAATTGTTTCTTGGTGCAGCAAGAAGCAATCCACTATTGCTTTGTCCAGCACTGAAGCTAAATACATGGTTGTAACAATGGCTGCACAAGAATGCATTTTGGCTGAAGTGTTTGATGGGAGACTCTCCGAAAAGTTGATAATGTTGTGCCAAACTATTGTTATAATGAGAGTGCCATTAAACTTGCCTCAAACTCAATCTTTCACAGGCGAACGAAGCATATTGGTGTTCATTACCACTTTATTCATGAGAATGTATTGAACCAAGAAATTGAGTTGAAAGGAGTTCATGCTACTGATCAAACTGCTGATATATTTACAAAGGCTCTGGCTAAACCGAAATTTGAAAGTTTTTGACTCACTACAAAAAAGTGCGGCCGTCTCTAATGGCTTGATTTCTGTAACTAACAGAGTTTTATCGATGGAATCAATTCATCGGTAAATCAAATAGTGAAACCCTCGCCGCTAAACTACTGATGAATTTCTTTGATCGTTGGTAAATTAGAGACAAAATAAAATGTTGGAGTTTAACAATGGATGTAGCCGTCACTAGTTACCAACGGAATTCTCTGTTGCTATTCTGTTAGTATCACATATGCATTTCTAAGCAATTTTAGCAACGAAAATTACAAACATCCTATTTGTTGCTAAATGGCTACTAATCTTCTGGTTTTATTTGTGTCGCTAAGTGCCAACAATTTTTCTACAGAACCATTCGTTTCTAAATAGGAACGTACATTTCCTTGCTACGTCTGTTCCCAATTTTTTACACAAATTTTCAACAAGAATAATTCTGTCGAAAATTTGAATTACAATTTTAAAAAATGCCACTAATATTTTATTCAATATATTTTTATTCTGAATTAAAACTACTAAAAAAAGTTAAAATACACTAATAAATAAACAAATACGAAATTGCAAACATTTTCATTCCATAATTTCACCTTTCAGAATTACACAAAATCACATTAATTTTGCTTTCATTTCAAAAATCAATACTAACTAGTTGAAATTAAATCATGTCCCTCATGGCACCAATTCCAAAAATATCTACACTTGATTTGTAAACACTTTCAATGGTAACTTTTTTATGAACAAAATAAACATTTACTATTTCCAACCATTGAAGATCATTGTCCTTGAATGACTAATTTGGTGACCCATTCCTTTCTCCCAACATCCGAAGTATGGCTTGTTCGAACTCAATCCGCTTCTTTTCTTTTTCACGCCTACCATCTTCCAACTTTCAAAGTAATTCATCATTTTTCCCTTGTAAGTTGATTTATCTTCTCGCAAGCACCACAAAATTCCTATTGCAAAATGATGAAATCAGTCTGTACATCATATGGACTAGAGACGCTAACTTTGTGCAGAATAGGACAATAAACCAAGCTCATATAAGCAACCACTCTTACAAGGACCTCCCTTTCTAGTATTGACTGCTCTTGGAGTTCTTGATCATAATGCACCAAGAGGGAGTCTTATTAATTAGTGCATCCTACTCTTTTTTTTTTTTACTTCTAATTTCTTGTCATTTGTTTATTTAGAAAAAAATATATTTTAGAATAGCGATTTTTTGAAAAATATGTGGTTAAAAAAGAAGAAAAAAATTTAGTTTACGTGTAATATTATTTTATTGAAAAATGTTTAATTGAAACAAAGAAATAAGAAAATACATTGAAATTAAAATAGAGCCCCCAAACAAGGGGGGTCTTTATTTTGTTCCGATTATTTTTGGATAGAATAAGTCAACAACAAGGTGTCAAATAAGAGAGTATTCTACTTCGTGGTGGTAGGATTTTATGCAATTAGTTGGGTTTTTTTTCTTTTTTTTTGACGGGTAAAAAATGAATTATATATATCAAATACAAATACTCTGGGCATGCCCGTGTGAAGCAGCAATGAAGTTATAATGGAAAAACGACTACTATGGGCATCCCCAAGTAATCAAACAAAAGAAAACCAAGGAAAACCAAACAAAAAAGAATACAAATCAACACATCGATAACGACTCATAACAAACCAAAACATTAGGATACAAATAGAACATCACTTTGTATACGTGTGTTTTGATTCGTTGTACAATATTCTCAACATGGGATTTCAAATTTTTAAAAAACATCATATTCCTAGTCAACCAAATGTAGTAGGCCGAACTAGCTAAAGCAATCCTTTTAGCTTTGTTGCGTCATAAGGTTCCTCTAACCTCCTTCTTAATCCACTTTAGTACACTAGCCATGGTAGTTATGGCTCTTGTAATGTCCAACAAAACCTTAATGCTCTTCTAAACACTTGGAAGGAAAAGGACATTCAAAAAATAGATGATGACATGTCTCCTCATGTGAAGCACAAAAAATGCAATTTCGATCAATATCCTAGTAATGCAATTTATCTTTAATGAGTAACTTGGATTGAGCTCCAAACCACAACATAAATGAGTGTTTTGGAGTGATGAAGTGTTTCCAAACATCTGTTGCCCAGCACTTCATATTTCCCTTAGACCGAAAAAATCATATGCCTTCGTTACACAAAAATTCTCCTCATTTATCCATGCAATGTTGCTGAA